TGGCCCAGGATCGGACATTGTTTCGTTCTGCTGTGCATGGGGTCACTATGAGTCGGTTCCGACTCGATGGCACCTGACAACAACAACAAGTCTTCCTAGCCACAAGTGTTTACATTTTTTAAGAACAGTTTTTAATTTTACTGAAGCTCAATTTATCAGTTTGTTCTTTTATGTATCCTGTTTAAGTCTCCTGTCAAAGAAACCTTTGCATAACCCTAGATCACATAGATGCTCTCCTATGTTTTCTTCTGAAGGTTTGGAATTTTATATTCTTAGATTTAGGTGTATGACCCATTTTGAATTAATTTTTGCATACAATGCAAGGTTGGAATTTAAGTGGGGTTTTGGAATTTTTTGTTTTGTTTTGTTTTTGCAAGTACCCATTTATTGTTCTAGTGCCATTTATCAAAAGGAATGTTCTTTCTCCACTGCTTTATCTTAGAACCTTTCTCAAAAAAAGTTGTCCATATATGTGTGAGTATATTTCATCTGTATTCTATTCTAGTACAATCCTTAGTAATAGTTAAGTCTAAAATATATTTTGTAAGCCCTATCTATTTCTTGTTTTCTTTTTGTTCTTTTGCCTTTTGGGGGTAGTTAAAACTATTTTATCCTTGTAAAACTATTTTATCATCTTTGTTGTTTGATTAGCTCTAACCCTTGCATTCTTTTTTAATGGTAAGTTTAAGATTTTATAGACTACAATTTTAATTTATAATCTTTCTTCAAGTGATACTATACCACTTCCCATATTGTAAAAGGACCTCACAATACTATACTTCCATGTTCTCCTCTCATTCTTTGTGCTACATTTTATATTTGTTTGTTACAAACCACACAATGCATTCTTTATTATATTGGTGTAGACAATCAGTTATCTTTTAGTAAGAACAAATTCTTACATTTTATGCACATAGTTACCATTTCCAGTGGCCTTCATTCCTTTGTGTAGATCCATATGTTCATCTGGTATTATTTGTTTTCTGCTGTAACAATGTGCTTTAATAGTTTTGCAAAGGGACTCTTGTTGAGTTCTCTAAACTTTTACATGTCTAAAAAGCCCTCATTTTAAAAAAAGACATTTTCAATGGGTATTGGATGAGCATTGGACTACTAAAAACAAGGTCAGTGATTCAAACACAGCAACCGCACCTCTGAAACTATACAGGGCCGCTATGAATTGGAACTGACTCAAAGCATTTATCAACAACAACAATATATGAAGGTGAGTCAAAAATTATCTGCACTCTGATTATATTAAAATGTGTATCCACATCCATGGCTGATAACATTGATCATGCACATGAAATGATTCTGTCAAATAGATAAGTAGATTATGTGATAAATCATTTGCAAGTCAGCCATGGCTCTGCCTGTGAAATAATCCACGACAAAATTGGGTTTCAAACAATTTGTGCGAGATGGGTACCAAAACAACTCACAGAAGAGCATAAACGGAAGTGTTTAGATATCTGCAAACAAAATTTTTGACCAATGCTTCAAGGAAGATAAATGTTTACTTAAAAAATTTGTTACTGGTGACAAGACCATAGATTCATTGCTACAAACTTGAAAGTAAATGACCAAGTATAGAGAGTATAGAATGGAAGTCGCTGAAAAAGAAAAAGTTCCAAAGTCAACTATCTGCTGGAAAATGGACGCTTACAGTGTCCTGGGATTCTTCAAAGGCCAATATTGGAGCCCTATCAGGGAAAAGGTTCAATAGTCAACAGTGCTCATTAACAGTGAGATTCACTGAAGACCTGAAGCCTAAACTGTTGGTTAAAGGCAGCAGACTGCTATCCAAGGGCATTGTGATCTTGCATGACAATGCATGTCTACACACCTCTGCCCACACTATTAACACTCTGCAAAAACTTTTGGAGGTGTTAATGCATTCTCTCTGTAGTCCTAATCTTGCTCCATCAGACTTTCACCTGCTTGGTCTCCTGAAAGCAGCCCTTAGAGGACAAAGGTTCACCTCTGATGAAGAAGTGAGGACAGCTGGCAGCTCAGCCTAAAACATTTTTTCATAAGGGAATATGAAAGTTTGTTGATAGCTGGACAAAGTGTATTCAAAAGCAAGGAGATTGTGTCAAAAAATGATTTAATTGTCTTTTCTAAAAGTTGATTAAAATAAATTCTACAGCCAGAGTGCAGATAATTTTTGTCTCTCAGAATTCTAGGCTGTCACTTTCTTTTCTTTCAGTGCTTTAAAGAAGTTGCTCTACTGCCTTCTAACATGTTTCTGATGAGAAATCCACTGCCCTCCTTATTTTTGTTCCTCTGGAGTCCTGGTGTGGCGCTGTGGGTTAATGCACCAGACTGCAAAGCCGTTTGAACTGCAAGGTCAGCAGTTCAAGCTCACCAGCTGCTCCTCGGAAACCTTATACAGGGTCATTATGGGTCAGAACTGACTCGACAGCACTTCACAACAACATACATAAGTGTTTTCTCCTATGACTGCTTTTCAAAATTTCCCTTTATCGGTGCTTTTAAACAATTTGATTATGATATATCATAGTGTATTGTTCTGTATTTTGTTGTGCTTTGGAGTACATTGAACATCTTATTGTGTAGATATATAGTTTACAACAGATTTGGGATATTTGCAGCCATTATTTTCTTATTTCTTTTTCTACCCTTTCTCACTCTAATTACGTGTATGTTAGGTCACTTGAAATTGGCTCACTGCTCCCTAATGCTGTGCTCTCTTAAAAACATTTTTATCTCTTGTTTCATTTTAGATAATTTCTATTGATTCTTAAATTTTGCTAACCTTTTCTTCTGTAATGTGTACTTTTCTATTAATACCATCTTTTGTTTGAGTTGAATGCTGTCTTTTTAAACATGAAATATGGTGGTTATAACTGTTTCAATATCCTTTGACTGTTAATTTTAATATCTGAGTCCGTTCCTAATGGTTAATTGTTGTCTTCATTATGGTCATGTTTTCCTGCCTTTTTGTGTAGTTAGTAATCTTTGATTCTATGGTAGACATTGTTATTTTTTTCTTGAATCCTGTGTATTTCTGTATTCCTATAAATCTTGAGTTACTATTCTTCAATATGATTAATTTACTTGGAATTCATTTGATTCTTTTAGGTCTTGCTTTTATAATTTGTTAAGTATGTTCATAGTGATACTCATTCTTAGGAGTAATTATTTCACACTCCTTAGGCAAGACTTTCCTTCTCAACCATATATCTCCTGTCTTGAGGGTGGAACCAGGCATTACCCCTAGTCCTGTATGAGTGCTAGACACAGTTTCTTCTAATCCTGTTGGTTGGTTCTTTTCCTGATGTTGAGTAGTTTTCACACATGCATGCTCAACTATAGAAGGTCAGAGGGACCTTCTATAGATCTCTAGAACTCACTTCCTTTCCTACTGTGTCCTCTTCTTCCCTCCAGTTCTGTGAACTTTAGCTACGTCTCCCTGGAGTCTCAGGTTCATCTCTTCAACTTACCTCAACTTATGTACTCCACCAGGTTCACCTAAATTCCCTTTTCCTATACTACTGCCTGGAAGTTCACTCTGTACAGTAAACTATGGCAATTATAGAATTCTCCTCATTTATTTCCCATACCTCAAGGATCACGGTTTTTTCAGTGTTTTTATGTTTAGCAACTTGAAAACCACTGTGTTCATGTGTTTTGTTTGATTGTTGCAGGAAGATGATAAGTCTTGATGTTATAGCACTGTCAAACAATATTAGAACATTAGCCTGTCCAGTTACTGTTTTGAATGAAGTACGATTTTCATATCAACAGCAATGTTGAATCTTAAGTAGCTACATCTGTAGAAAAATTAATTTTTTCTTCATAATCAGCACTAAGTAAATCTGTTTCTTTGTCCTTTAATAGAACAATCTAGTTCTGTTGTAGGTTTTGTAGGTATTTAGTGATTGATATCGCAAAGGTTGCTTTCACTACCGAACTCTACTAGACTTCAGTTAAAGTTAAAAGATAAAAACTTTTATTCCGTATTATAGATTGAACTGTGTGTCCCAAAATGATATGTTGAAATGTTAAACCCTGATACCTGTAAATGTGACCTTGTTTGGAAATAGGATCTTTAAAGATGTTGTTAGCTAAAATCACATGAAGTAAGATGGATCCTACTCCAGTCTGAGAGACTCGTTATAAAAAGAGGGAAGATAGCAATGTGACAATGGAATTATGCTGCAGCCACAAGCCAAAGATTGCTTAGGTCCACTTGAAGCTAGGAGAACCATGAAAGGCTCTTCCCCTAGAACTGTCGGAGAGAACATAGCCCTGCCAGTTCCTTGATACCAGACTACTAGTCTAGATGAACTGTTGATTTCTCGTTTGTTGCTGTGGGCTCAGTGTGGAGCATAGTGTATGATGCCTACTAAGTGCTCTACTACTATGTTAATAAGAACATTTCATGAATTTCAGATATATTGAATATTACTGTCTTTTGCTTATGTAAGTAATAACAGTTTAGAACAAAACAAAAGTCTAAGGGAGATAGTTATCTTGTGGTTTTTCTAAAATGTGTTTTAAATTGTCAACAGTTAAAGCTAAGAAGTACATTAATTAAACATTTGATCCAGCAAATTAATGCATGTGTTTGTTTGTTTGTTTGTTTGTTTCAGGATGCAGAAGAATACACAGATTTGCCAGTAAGACACAATGAAGATCATATGAATAGTGAACTGGCAAAATGTCTTCCCATTGAATTAAATCCTCATTCATTTGACAACCCCCACACCAAAGCACATCTCCTATTACAAGCACATCTCAGCCGAGCCATGCTGCCCTGTCCAGATTATGACACTGACACGAAAACAGTCTTGGACCAAGCTGTCAGAGTATGCCAGGTATGGAAGTCATTTCTAATACCTACATTTTCTCATCATTTCTATCTTGAAAACCTCTCCCCGCCAGATTCTGGGATAAAATGTACTTGAATTTTTAAATTTGTATTGTAACATTGTTGAGAAAAAAGGGGTGACTCAAGAATATGCAAGGGAAAGGCAAGTATAAATTAAATAAGATAATACTCATTAATTCAACCAAAGTGCAGCAACCAGCATGAAGCAGGGAACAAGACAGAGATTTACAAAGATTCAGTCAGTTAACAGGGAGACTAGACTAGATCAGCCCCAAAGTGACATTGTTGTTAGGTGCCATCAACTTGATGTCAGCTCATGGTTGACCATGCATGACAGAGTACAACTACTCCCTAGGGTTTTCTTGGCTGTACTCTTGGCAGGAGCAGATCACCATGTCTTTTTCCCAGGGAGTCTCTGGGTGTGCTCCACCCACCAACCTTTTGGTTAGCAGCTGAGCACTTAATCATTGCATCACCAGGGTTCCTTCAAGAACTGATAACCATAGCATAACAATAAAATACCTCAGCAAAGAAAAGAGAGAGCGAGATGGAAGGTACTGTTTTGTAGTATTTTTAATGTGTTCAGGGACTCTTTGGCTGACAGAGTGACATTTAAGATAATATTATTTTTGAAGGGAGGGAAAAAGCCCATAGCACTTTTTATTCCAAATAAATTCTGAGGGAGTTTATTCCAAACACTAAGGAAAGCAAATACCAAGAACTTGATTGAGATATTCAGGGAAAATCAAAGAGATTTTTCCAGCTGGAAAAAAGTCATGGAATCCCCTCTGGCTCCTTTCTTTAAAATTCTCATCCACTCCACTAGAAAATTCTTTTAGTTCTTCTTAAATTTATATGCAGGATTCAGCCAATTCTCACCAATCTCACCTATACTAATTTGATCTAGCCGCCATCATTTCTAGTCTAGCCTTCAAGTGTTCAAGGTATAAAAAGTTCATTGATAAGGTTTCTGATTCCACACTGCAAGTAACCTACAAGAAATACCACTTATCAAGCTTTGGTGTAGTATCAAAGGAGCATATCCACAATATCTGAAAAGACAGTTTTTTTTTTCAACTACATATTTATGTGAGGATGGATTTTCTTTACATACTTCAACTGAAAATATCCTATTGCAACACACTGATTGCAAAAGCAGATGCATGAATCTAGCTGGCTTCTGTTAAACTAGATATTAAAAGAATTTGCAATAATGCAAAATATACTTCAAGCTAACATTTTCATTGTTTAGAAAATAGTTATTTTTCATGGGAAATTATGCTATTTGTTACCATGTAATGATTTATTAATGTTACTTTAAATGAATTAATAAATGTTTGAAAAATAGCATTGATTAATGTGGTAAATAATGATATAACCAACATTAACATTAGTGAACCACTGTTGCAATGGCTTCCCTCTTATTCAAAGTCAAATCCTAACCTTTAACAAGTGTGTAAGCTAATTCTGCTCTCCAGCTTCTATTACTGCCCCTTTCTGATGCATTTGAAGCCATCATTTTCTCCTGTCTTTCACTTTTCCTGTCTCTTTGAAGCAATTGAAAATATGGCCTTGATTATAGAAGTGGTACAGGAGATTACATGATAGAATTTTATGAAGCCAGAGACTTATTTATTCCAAATATATTTTTTGAACAAAAGAAATGGAGATTACATGTGCACCTCACCAGATGAAATACGCACGAATTAAGTTGATTGCATCTGTGGGAAAAGATGATGGAGAAGTTCAATATCATCAGCCAAAAGTAGGCCAGGGGCTTACTGGGGAACTGATCATTAATTAATTGCTCATCTGAAAGTTCATGCTGAAGCGGAAGAACATTAAATCAAGTTCAAAAGAGCCAAATTATAACCATAAATATATCCCACCTGAATTTGGAGATCATGTCAAGAGCAGAGTTCATACATTAGATTCTAATGACTGAAAGCTACAAGAGTTGTGAGATGATGTCAAGAGAATACAGGAAGAAAGTGAAAAGTCATTAAAAAGACAGGAAAGAAAGAAAAGAAAAAAAATGGATTTCAGAGAAGCTAAAGCAACTGGAAGATATGAGGAAGCAAAAGAGCTGAATAGAAAAATTAAAAGGGCAGCTCAAGAAGATACAGTATTATAACCAAATGTGCAAAGAACTGGATTTCCAAAATGGAAGAACATGTTCAACATTTCTCAAGGTGAAAGAACTGAAGAAAAAATTCAAGCCTCAGATTGCAATATTGAAGAGTCTCTGGGCAAAATATTGAATGACACAGGAAGCATCAAAAGAAGGAAGAAGAATTACAGAATCACTGTACCAAAAAGAATTGGTCAGTGTTCTGTCATTTTAAAAATCTTATCCTGTGATCAAGAACCAATGGTACTGAAGGATGAAGTCCAAGCTGCATTGAAGGCATTAGCAAAAGTCAAGGTTCTAGGAATTGATGGAATTTTAGTTGAAATGTTCCACAAACTGATAACAGTGCTAAAGGTGCTTATTCATCTATGCCAAGAAATTTGGAGGTCAGCTACCTGGCCAATTAATTGAAAGAGATCCATATTTATGCCCATTCCAAACATAGGTAACCCAGTGGAATGCAAAAGCCATCGAACATTATCTTCACTGTCAAATGCAAGTAAAATTTTGCTGAAGATAATTCAAAAATAGTTTCACCAGTTTGTCAACAGGGAGCCACCAGAAATTCAAGCAAAATTTAGAAAAGGATGTGGAACTAGGAATATAATTGCTACTGTCAAATGGATCTTAACTAAAAGCAGAGAATACCAGAAAGATGTTTGTGTGTGCTTTACTGACTATGCTAAGGCATTTGACTATGTGGATCATAATAAACTATGGATAGCATTGTGAAGAATGGTTCTCCCAGAACATTTATGTTCATGAGGAACCTGTACAATAAACCAAGAGGCAGTTGTTCAAACAGAACAAGGTTTAGAATGAATGGTTTAGAATCAGGAAAAATGTACACCACTGCTTCATATGTTTGTGATAGCTGAATAATGAATAAGGTAAACTGGAGAAGAATGAATGCATTGGAATTTTGATATTGCCAAAGAATATTAAAAGTACCATGGACTGCCAGGAATACAAACAAATCTGTGTTGGAAGAAGTACAGCAAGAATGCTCCTTAAAAGCAATGATGGCAAGACTTCGTCTCTCATTCTTTAGATATGTTGTCAGGCAGTTCCAGTCCCTGGAGAAGGACATCAGTCATACTTGGTAAAGTGGAGGGTAAACAAAGGAATACCCCAGACAAGATGATATAGTGGCAGCAACAATGGTCTCAAACATAAAACCTTTTTTGTGTATAGTACAGGACACCTCCCTTGCACCTAATAACAACTGTAGTGCCTAGGATATCAATCTTTATTCCTTCCATTTAATATTTGGTGAATCAAATTTATTTTGCCATTAATACTGTCCCAGTATTAGCCATTGAGAACCTCTAAAGGCAGCTCCTGGGTCCTTTTGACTTCCCCATTTCCTTACTTTTGGCATCCTTTGATTTCCCTTTCTCAGCTCTGAAATCAGCCACTTTTCCAAGGATCCCTCTTTCATTTTATCAGAGACTGGTATTCAAAACTAAAATCTGGTCTCTAGGCACAGTCAAGGGTCTTCTTGGGTGTCAGTGCTTCTAGGCCCCCTTAGTGAACAAAGCTAGTAAATAGAAGTTCATATACAGAGACACCTATATCTGTTATGAGGAGAAGTCAAAAAGTATTGCTACTTGCGTTCTGGTTCATACATGCCTTGGTTTATTACAAGCAAAACATGTCTCTACAATAGGTGGATGACTGAAAACAAGTTCTCTCAGTAATGTGCTTGTCTTAACCAACTCAACAGCACTTAACAGCAACAACAGTAATCTCCTTAGAGTGCCTTCACACACAGAAAAAAAAACAGATACTTTTTCTTCCATGGAAAAAGCAATATTTGAGGTTAGCACTAATACCAAATTTCTAAACAAAAAAACAACAACAAACAAACTCAAGTGGACATCTTCCCAAATCTTTGAAGTTTTACTGCAAGTTTACAGGAATGCTGTCGCACATAAAACTACAGTTGTTGATGAATCAAGCTTTTTAAGGAAGTCTAGAAAGAACAGAGAGGGGAGCCAATAGTTAAGAACGTCAACCTCCATGAGTGAAGATACTGTAACTAAATCCAGAAATTGATGGAATAATTAATATTGTTGTGATAATTACTAAAGTAGGATTCTCACAAGGTTCAGCATTTTCAGTTTTAAAAGAGCATGTTGGCCTCAGCAAGCTTTCAAGTGGATAAGTGCCAAAAGTGTTGCATAAATTTGGCCTAGCTCAGAAAAGCTGACCATCTTTTAAGCAACATCAAAGCTAAAGAAAATGATTTTATGGAGTGAATCATAATCAGGGACAAGTCTTGGGTTTACCAACATAATCCAAAGAGCAAGATCCATTCAGAATAGTGGCTTCCAAGGTGATCTGCTAGGCCAGTTTAATTCAAGGCTGAGAGTCAGCTCAAAAGGTTATGGTGACTGTTTTTGAGGATTCCAAAGAGATAATCATGATAGATTTTCTCATAGGACTCAGATGGTTACAAGGGCTTATTTTGGAGAAGTTTTAAGAAAATTGAAAGCTGACTAGATGAGGAAAGGGCCAGGAAAGATGCACAGAGGACTTTTTTCCGTCATAAAAATGCCTTACCCCACCCACCCTACAGCCCTGATCTTGCTCTTCAGACTTCTTTTTGTTCCCAAAATTTAAAGAACATTTCAAAGGAATGCTGTATTAATCCTTCAGGGATGCTAATTCTCTGGTTAAGGATTGGAGAGATTGAAACACCACCTTCTGAAATGTATGGAATAGAGGCCGTGTCAATAAGCAGTAGCTTCACATTTTGATATTTTTGTTTAATGAAGGTTTCTATGGTTTTGAAGCAATATTTGTACTTACCCTCATATATATTAATTTATCTCTGTGTATGTATGTATGTT